AAAATTTTTGATAATTTTTATAATAAAATAAAATTTTAAAATTTTAACTTCTAATCAATTCTCATATTATCTATATATATAAATATATAAAGTCAAAAAGTGAAATAACTAAAATAAAAGGACACAAATTTTAACAGAACCCAATATCATCTATGTACCTTGTATCTTACTTTAATTGTCAGTATTTTTTTCCCTAGTGACTTAGAATGATAAAAATACGGATATGTTGGTGAAAGGTTTCTTCCCAAATTGCTCTACTTAATTTTCTATATCTGCATGTGATAGATTTTCGTTGCATGTAAAGTAGATACCAAAATGCAAAAAAGTTAAAAATGAGAAAAACAATCTAGAGTCTAATCCTTTAAAGGTGGCAGGAAAGTATAGATAATCCAAGGAAAGGACTACGTCATATACTAAAACTAGTAAATTATAAAAAGAAAATAGAGCTACTAAGAGAAGAAAAATGAATATAAAGAAAATATGGGAATTAAAAAACTATACCTGCTGGCTTGAAACTTGTGCTTCTAACTCTGAGAAGGCAGAAAATGCGGTAAATTTTATCCCAAATGAAATGATGCCTATTTGCATATCGAAATAGATAATAAAATGTGAAATGGTAAGTTAATAGATATAAAAATGGAAAGAAAAAGCGCTTGTGTAATTTTGCTGTGAAAGCACTTGTCATCATTTACCTTAGAAAATAAGAGGTAACGAAGAGTAGAAGGGCAGGGAAAGTGGAAATACACTAGAACAGCACTTTTTACTTTTGCAGTGAAAGCAGTTGGTTCACTGAAAAAGATTTCTGCAGTGAAAACAGTTGATTTGCTGAGAAAGGCTTCTGCACCTGTTAATTTTCGTCGCCTAAATGACTCTGAGCTACGAACGAAAGGATAACAATATTGTTAAAACGTCTCCACAGATAACTCGTAAGCACATGCTATCTGGTTAGCTATACTTTCAAGATCAATTTTTATTACATATATTGAAGTAGAAACCAAAATGAAGTAAGCACAAAACCAACATCTAGAATCTAATCCTTTGGAAGAGGAAGACCAAAATTCAAGAAAAAAAAATACGTTAGAAAATAGTTTGTTAAATCATTTATTCAATAATAAATTGAAAGAAAAAGTACCTTGCTTCAAATGGTTGTGTTTTCTCTAAATGACTTTTTAAAATGACAAAAAAAAAAATATGCCTGGCGAAAGGTTTCTCCACGGATTTACTCAGATAGACTTTCTATC